TCCCGCAGGACTCAACCCCGCGAAACCGACCATTGGTACAACTTCGTACCGGTCACTGTCGATGACGCGCAGCGACTGCTGCAGGCCACTCAGCACGACATGGGCCAGGCGCGTAGCCGCATCGGTCATCTGTTGCACCAGATCTCCGAAAACTCGGCGCTGCAGGGAGTACGGGGACTCCGCACGCTCGCAGATGCGTGGAAGAATCCGGATAAAAAGCCGTATCTCCCCACCATCATGCACCCCGCGGCCTATACGCCGCCGGGCATGGAGTTCGCGGACACCTCGCACCTGCCGCCACCTCTGGGGCGACGCCCGGGCATGTTGCCCTCGCAGCCGCTCCACAAGGCCACGCGCCCGCTCCAGGACCTTAATGGTCCACGCCGTGCTCAGCCGAGAACGTGTGACCCGCCCGAGCGTCACCGTGATTGGTGGAGGTCATACCAAGACCGCATCCCGCCGTGGATGGAACGGGACCAGGATGGAGGTCCAACGCTGGAAGCTGCCCAGCTGTTTGTATACTCGTGGCACCCGATCGCGCGAGACCGCACGAACCAAGAGCGCGCGCGGTGGGTCGCTCTGACCCTCACCCTCTTTTCGGTGCCCGGCCTATACCGGCACATCCTGGCCCAGTGGCAACTGGACCCCACTGGTCCGTACGCCCACGCGTACTATCCCGGCTCGTTGGGCGTCGACGACATCACGGTCTTCCACGTCGCGCACTGGTACGCAGTGCAAGGCATCACCCTCACCCTCGCCGATCGGATGCAGCGATCCGCGCATCGTGCCAGGGTGCAGCTGGAGGGCATGGACCATAACTCCGCCGTCCTACCGTTCGCGGGCATCGTCTCCATTGCGGGAGCAGGGCCCGTGCCCCCAGTCGCGGCTCTAACGCTGCGGGGCCTCGCTGCCAACCCGACGCTAGCGTTCGCGCCTGCGAACCCCACCACTCCGCAACACCCCGTACCCGTCCCCGCCGCCGCGCCTACTACCCCACACGTCCAGATGGACGTGGACACCCTACCGCCGCCGGATCAGGCATCGCCGCCTCCTGCCTCCACCAACAATGTCGACGGCACGGAGGCGCGACAAGAGGGAGGTGAAGCGCGGGGAACTCCGAACGCGGAGGAGGCGGAGAAGTCGGCCGAGGAGGAGCAGTGAACAGACCCTCGTGGTCCCCTCTCCGTACCTCTAGGTACTTAAACCCACCCAGACGTCGCACCACCGTCATGGTGTATATACTGGTGCTGGACGCTATCGCGTCCCTCTACCCGCCGCAGAAATGCGAGCACGTCACCATTCGGACGGATCACCCCCGTCGCGAACGAGCATTCTGGGTGACTTGGGTGGAGAGGGCCATGACTGGCAGATCCGATTGATGAGGTGGAGGAAGGTGTGGCTTTCTGAAGGCTTCCAAGCCATACTACTGCAATAATGATGGCTGTTCTACCTTGTAGGATCAATTAACAAATATATCAGCAACATCATTGAATAGAGATTGAAAAAATGAATCTGGTGGTATATAATACTTGTGGGTGAGGCAATGATGCCATCAGGTCTGTGCCATTGAGCAATTATTGCTAATTGTGGCATTGATAGAATTTTGTGTGCACATTTGGATTCTCATCTATAGCTTTCTGGTGATATACATTTTGTGAAACATGGACCAGTAGGCACCAGATTATTGGTAAATTTGTGAAGGGAGCCCAACTGCAATACAGTATGTGTACTGTTAGCTCATTTTGTACCATAACGTGGGATCAACGTCTATCTTCAGAAAGCTACTTTCAATGTGGATCTAATGGTGGTATGACTATGCATTATATGCAATACACAGGTGTTGATCTGCCAACCAGTTCATTTGATGCATTGGTCCCCCTATCTTCTGTGCTATGGAATGAAAGTGTGTTGGGATGTGATGGTAAGACCAGGCATATGACAGAATGAGCATGAATACTATATAGTGTGCATACAATCTGCATCATCAGAACCTAGAAATCTATTTATGGCTTTGTACTCCAATTGATGCCTCCAAATGGCATCCTGTTAACTCACCATTAGCACCATTGTGTAGAGCTCAAATTTCTGAATCTGACACTATATGACACTTCATATATTGCTTAGGAATACATTGATCTAGACCCACTTCAATCCCCTATTAGTGACATATTGTGACCAATTGTCACTTATAGGGGTTTGTTTGGCGCGTAGTTCCCTCAGATATGCTCAAAACAATATACAAACAACCCCCTTGTATTCTCCTGATGCATAGCTTTCTGGTGATACTACATTTGTTTGATTTGGTGAACATCATGTGAGGTTGCCAGACATAGATGCTTGGAGCCAAACAGGTCACAGTAGAGTCACATGACTGTGCCGCACGGCATACGCCTGGGTCAGATTTTCGACCCAGGCGTATGCCGTGCGGCAGGATTCAATCTCCACTCCAAATTGACCAGTATTATTGATAAATGGGCTACAAAAGTGCAGATGGGTGGATTCCTCTGCTATTCCTTTGGCAAATATACATGTGTTATATACCATCAGAAACCTCTTCAAGAGCTCTACCTGATGGTGGCATTTACAAGCTTTTATCTTATCTCTGTAGTGTTCAATATTCAAGACCTCCTGCAAACCAGAAGACTAAAACAGGTGTTGAGCCCACAATTCTGCCAACTGTGATGCTATAATAGTCACATTGTCTCTTTTCTAATGTGTCTATTCTAATGGGTAAGATAATATTCCAATATAAAGTCATCAATTTAGTCAATGCTTGGCATTCACAGAAGATAATCAACAAGTTGCAATAGAGTTATACAAAAATACACAAAATCGTGTTTTATGAGGTACCCTGATTACCAATAAATGGTGATTCATGTACCATTGGAATCTGCTAGCCAAGCTCTATACAGTGGAATGGTTTTCCAAGCCTCATATGCATCATATGGTGCAGAAATGACCAAATAATGCATTTTAAAGAAGGGTTCACAGGGTCAAATAGGCGCCTGAAGCGTGATTTGGTGAAGTCCTATGGGCGCTAGTAGATCGCGCTGGCCCAGCGCGATCTACTAGCGCCCGTGGTACTTAGAAAGAATTTTTGAAAAGCAGGCGCTTTTTGGCAGTATTTCCCTAGCTGTTTCACCAGTTCTCATCCATATGGCACAAATTATATATCATCAGAACGCCCTTTACAAGCTCTACAACATGGTGCTACCATGGTTCTGAAGCAGATTGAATTGATCTGTGAATCAAGGAAATACTTGGATTTCAGTCTTTTAATGATGATATTTCCTTTACTACTTCACCAGATCTCATCAATATAGCCCTATTATACATCATACCAAAGCTCTTCACAAGCTGCACACCATGGTGCTATTATGGCTTCCATTTTTCTCATATTGCACTCTAAATCCAAGGCATACTTCATTTCTACCTTTTTTCCAAGCCAGGATGCATGCATCAGTTGAGACATCAATTGCTCCAGTGACTAATGGTAGATGACATACAAAAACAGATATGACCCTCTATTTTAGTACATAATACCTCAACTGATAGCTGACTAGCCTCTCTTAGTGGCATGTGGCATCCAAATACTACTACCAGATCACTGCTCTAAAAGGAAACTAGGGGTATAGTACTTGAACTACACTATATCATGTGTTAAGGGTCTGTTTTGATACAGTGCATAGCCTATAGGCATAGTGTGCAGTGAGCAGCAGATGTGCTGTGCAACCTAGGGTTACACAAGCACCCAGGGGAGAGGCTTTAGATGTGGTAAGAATTGTGATTAGAACAGATCTAAAGCTAACCCTAAGCTGTGCTATTGGAATCCAACCCTAACCCTGTGAACATCACAAAATTTTGTATGTGGCGCCTATCAGAAAGCTAATGATGGGTAAGTAATTTTTTCCCACGGGGTCGACTTTCCGACATGCAAGTTGGCAGGAAGGTCACCCCATAAGAAACGATTTCTTCGTTCCTCATCAATCGTAATGAGGGTTTGTTGCTCGCGCCAGCTATTCTTAATGCATGGAGTTGCGTGTCGGCAAAGTAAGCACGCGCATGAGCATGTGCCGCCGAGCGGGCCCACTGCACAATCCGAAAGAGGATCTTTGGAGGCGGAAAGTCTTCAGGGTTGAGCTTGCACGAGCACATCCCAAGCTATGATATTTCCACTGACATGGGGTACCCCAGGACATGGCAAGTTGTACAAACTGCCTACCCTTAAGAGACCGGGGGGAACTAAACACAAGCATATATACCAAGCATGAACATTGTGCTCTGCGGCTTTCGAGTCCGCGAACGTGCACCGGGGCAGATTACAAGCCTACGTAGCTACAGACACCTCGCGCGTACAATACCAGATATGATGCTCTATGTCAGTATATAATATCTCAACTGATAGCTGACTAGCCTCTCTCAGTTGCATGTGGCATACAAACACTACTACCAGATCATGGCTCTGCAAGGAAACAAAGGGTATAGTACTTTAACGACACTATACCATGTGTTAAGGGTCTGTTTAATACAGTACATAGCCTATAGGCATAGTGTGCAGTGAGCGGCAGATGTGCTGTGCAACCTAGGGTTACACAAGCGCCCAGGGGAGAGGCTTTACATGTGGTAAGAATTGTGATTAGAACTGATCTAAGGCTAACCCTAAGCTGTGCTATTGGGACCCAACCCTAACCTTGTGAACATTACAAAATTTTGTATGCAGCGCCTATCAGAAAGCTAATGATGGGTAAGTAATTTTTTCCCACGGGGTCGGATTGGCGTCACGCAAGTTGGCAGGAAGCTCACCCCATAAGAAACAATTTCTTCGTTCCTCATCAATCGTAATGAGTGGGAACACTGATGTCACCAGTCTACTGTCGGGCACTGCCATCAAGTCTGTCATAGCTTATGTTGCTGATTACATAACCAAGACCCCACTCAAAACCCATGTGATGTTCCAGTCTATCCAGCAGGTGTTTGAGCGCAATGTGGAGCTGTTAGGCAGTCAAAAGTCTACCAAAGAGAAGGCTCGGTCCCTGATCACCAAGATAGTGAACTCGCTCACTGCATGCTCTGAAATTGGTGGACCCATGGCAGCCATGTATCTGCTCAAGCATCCAGACCACTACAAAAGTCACAAATTCCGCACCTGCTTCTGGAGAGGATATGTGTATGAGGTGATGTGTGCATGGGAGGACTCTGCCAAGATTGCCGAGGAAGGGACCACCAAAGTCATGCTTGGACTTTCAGGAACATCCAAGCGGATCATAGCATTGTCACCTGTGCAGGATTATATATGGCGGCCCACTGAGTACGAGCACATGTCACTATATGATTGGGTCAGACTGGCAGACAAACAGCGGATCAAGCACCGCAAAAAGGGTCCCAAGAAATCTGAAGAGGCTATTAATGAGCATGCAGATGTGGACTTGGAGTTTGAGGACAACTATGATGTCAGTGATGCAGAATTGAAGGGTGCTGGAGTCAGTGAAGAGGAAGAGGAATCGGAAGATGAACTCTTGCTCACAAAGACATCAAACCAGGAGCTTGAAGCAGATAGCGCACCTAAGCCCAGGAAATCCAGGTCAAAATATGTGCAGTTCCATGAGAATCATCCACAGTATGAGACCCATCACGTGAAGCTGCTGGATGAGTCTGAGGCATATGTCCCCAACTTCATTGGTGGTTCACTTCCCAGGAGAGATGCAGGCAACCGTGAACAGTATTGCATGACCATGCTCACACTCTTCAAGCCATGGCGCACAGGACAGGATCTGAGACCAAGCCAGGATGTGCTCTGGGATGATGTGTTCAATGGCTATTCATTCACAGAGCGGCAGCTGGAGGTCATGAAATTCTTCCATATCAAATATGAGTGCAATGATGCCAGGGACGACTTTTCAGCTGCTCGCAAAAAGGGAGGAAAGACTGGTCCTTCACCATTCAACATGGATAATGCCACCCTGGATGACCTGGACACGCAGTATTATAATGATGATGGAGAACTCAACATCAGCGAGATTGAGGAGATGGTGCTGCGGACCAATGACTGGACAGAGCTCAGCAATGCAGAAATAAGCAGACGCACACAGATGCTGCAGGCTGAACAAATCATCCAGGCTTCAGGCTGGCTAGATCCCATGAAAGAGAAGAACACTTCTGAACTGCCATCAAAGTTCAACAGCAAGGAAGATATGAGCTCTGCAGACTGGAAGAATGTGCTTGCTGCCAAGCGCCAAGAGATACTAGATGCCAGAGATGCCCAGGCTGCACTCAAGAAACCTGCCAATGCGAGTACTCTCATTAAAGCTTTGACACACTTCTTTGCTGCTCGCCAGGAAAGCTACCGGTTCATGTGCATGGCCCCCACTGGATCTGCAGCAGCGCTTATCGGAGGATCTACATACCATTCCATGCTAGGACTCAGACAAAATGCATCCTCAGACTCTGTGGCTACCCTGCTCCAAGTGCGCGCTCGCCTGCAGAATGTGGAGTACATGTTCATTGATGAGATCAGCATGGTCAGCTGTGGAAGTGTGTATACTATTTGTGCAAAGATGTGTGCAGCACTGAAGAATGATGGGACACCCTTTGGTGGGATCAACATGATTTTTGCAGGAGACTTTGCCCAGCTGCCCCCAGCCATGAGTGGAAATGCACTGTACTCGCACAAAGTTGGACGTGTCATCCATCGCACCCACAGTCACGCACACCAGCAGGCATCCATTGGCAAGGCATTGTGGCATCAATTCACCACTGTGGTTATTCTGCGCGAGAACATGAGACAGCGGTCACAGGGTGCCAACGATGCCAAGCTCAGGACAGCATTAGAGAATCTGAGGTAAAAGTCATGCACACCTGAGGATGTCAAGCTTCTCCAGTCGCGTGTTGCAGGGCGTGGTCCAGGCAGACCTAAGCTGAACCAGCCATGCTTCCGCAATGTGTCTATTATTACTGCATGGAACACACACAGAGATAAAATCAATGAGCTGGGATGTGAGAGGTTTGCAAGGGAAAATGGCCAGCCATTGACTACATGTTATTCTGTGGACAAGCTCTCAGCCAATGCAGATGACAATGCCACCAAAAAGCAGCGCAGACAGACCATGAACCCTCGACGGTCCACCAATATTCTCAGTGCTGAGCTCCAGGATTGTCTGTGGAATTTGTCACACACCCTCACTGATCATCTGCCAGGAAAACTGACTCTGTGTGTGGGCATGCCGGTGATGATCAAGATTAATGAAGCGACTGAATGCTGCATGACCAATGGAGCCGAGGGTGTAGTTGTTGGCTGGAAGTCCAGACCTATCAGCGAGGACAAGGAAGCCCTGGAAACTTTGTTTGTCAAGCTCACTGCTGCCCCTACCACTGTGAAATTGGATGGATTGCCAGAGAATGTAGTGCCCATCAGCCACCAGTCACGCAAGATCAGGTGCAAGATGCCCAATGGAAATTTCCTGTCCATTTCCTGTGACCAAGTGTCAGTCATTCCCAACTTTGCCATGACAGACTTTGGATCCCAGGGACGTACACGGCCACATAATGTGTGTGATTTGCAAAATTGCCGCTCTCACCAGTCAATCTACACCTGCCTGTCCAGAGGATCCACATACAATGGGACTATTATTGTGCAGCCATTTGACCCAAGAAAGCTGACTGGAGGAATATCTGGAAGTCTGCGCCAGGAGTTCAGAGAGCTTGAGTTGCTGGATGAAATCACCAAGCTGCGCTACCCGGGCAAGATCTCACCCAAAGTGACAGGCATCACGCGCAATGAGCTGATCCATTCATTTAGAAAATGGAAGGGAGAGAAGTTCATGCCAAAGACAATGCACAGGGCCCTGAGATGGAATGTTGGTGATACAGTGACTTACAAAACTATTTCCAGAAACGGTCACGCGGCGCCTTTTGCTGAATATCTCGGTAACGGCTGCGCGTAATGCTACGATTCAAATTGCATTAGGTAGACATATGTCTTGGCTTTCCATGGGTACTTGTTTCATAAAAATCGGGTGCGAACTTTCAAAGATATGATATGTTCTTTACCCACATCTTCTGGAAATAGTTTTGTAACGCGCATTTTGGAAAGGCAAGATACATGATTCTAGTACTTGGTATAGCCCCCCTTGGCCTTCAAAACGGCTGCAACCCTGTTAGGCATAGTCTCCACCAATTTCTGACACTCCTCTGCTGAAATTGCCTCCCACTCCTTCTGAACCCTTGTCCACAGCTCCTCCATCGATGTAGGCGGGGTTTTGTAGGTGGCGAGCTTGCGTTTGAGGACACCCCAGAGATGCTCGATGGGGTTGAGGTCTGGGGACTGTGCAGGCCACTCCAGGACTTGAATCTTGTTCTCCTTGAAGCATCGTTTGGCCTTTTTGCTGGTGTGCTTGGGGTCGTTGTCTTGCTGGAAAATGACGTTTTCGACGTTGTAGTCCCAGTGGTAGAGGGAATTGCGTAGCTCGTCCTCAATGATCTCCACGTATAGGTCGGCATCCATCTTCCCAATGATCTTGCATGAGTGTCCTGTCCCATCCCATCCAAAACAGCCCCAGAACATCAAACTCCCTCCACCGTGCTTGAGTGTTCCCTCCACCAGGCGGTCACTGAGCCCCTCCCCCTGCTTCTTCCACACCCATTTCCTCCCATCCGACCCTACTCTATTGATCTTGGTCTCATCTGACCAGACAACCCTCTTCCAGTCCTCCACCGTCCAGTATTTGTGAGCTAAAGCGAAGGCGTACCGCTTTTCCCGATGCCTTTTGGTAAGCTGCGGCCGTTTCTTCTTCGTCACAGCCAGCATCCCAGCCCGCTTCAGCGCCCGACGGATGGTTTGGACAGAGACACGTCTTAGGAAGGTGTCCTTGAGGGTATCATGGACCTGAGTGGCAGTATCGGCCTGGCCGGTCTCAACCAAGCGGGTAGCGTGGCAGATGTTGATGGGGGAAAGGAGTGATGGACGGCCACCCTTGGACTTGTGGACTCCAGGGCAGTTGGCAGAGCGAATCTTGCTGATCTGGCTCTTACTGACACCAGTTTTAGTGTGTATCATGGAGATGGGAAGCTTCTGGTTACAAAGCTGAATGATGGTGTTGCGAGTGGCTTCAGAGAGTGCTGGGGGCATGGTGGTGGCAGAGGTGGAGGAGTATTCCAGCAGCGCTGATGTGGCATCACCTCAGTAAACATTATATAATATATTCCCACAGTATCATGTGACATTCACAACACGCTTGGCCAAAAACGACCCAGTTGTTCCCTGCCAAAATGCGCGTTACAAAACTATTTCCAGAAGATGTGGGTAAAGAACATATCATATCTTTGAAAGTTCGCACCCGATTTTTATGAAACAAGTACCTATAGAAAGCCAAGACATATGTCTACCTAATGCAATTTGAATTGTAGCATTACGCGCAGCCGTTACCGAGATATTCAGCAAAAGGCGCCGAGTGACCGTTTCTGGAAATAGTTTTGTAAGTCACTGTACATTCCCCATAGAAGATGTGCAGGCAGATGCCTGGATGGGTGCCATCTTCAATCAGAAGACTTCTCAGATGTGTCCCCAGTGTGAGCGCACACTCCATCAATGCATCAGATATGATGAGCCTCCAGCATTCATAGCACTGAATATTCACAACATCAAGGCAGACATTTGCACTGAAGTCACATTGCCTGATCATCCTGAGCGGTATAGGCTGTGTGGTCTGATCTACTTTGGGAAATTCCACTTCACATGTCGTGTTGTGGACAGGCATGGTGATGTGTGGTTCCATGATGGGATGAAGACTGGGACTAATCTTGTGCCAGAGGGTAATGTACTGACCCTGGACTCCAGCCTGCTTCAGAAAGCAGGTAAGAGGCGTGTTAGTGTACTTGTATATACCAGAATGTAGAGTAGGAAGGATTACCTCAGCATTTATAATCAGTGTAGTCCTTTGTAATTGCTATTAGAAAGAGATATATATATTAAAATGTTTGACTTTGAAATCAAAGTAATCATTGTTGGCACATAATTTTCTTCAACATATAAAAGTATGACTTCAAATTTGCTCCAACTTTGTAATGATTATAATTATTTGTAATGAATATCCACATCCTCAAATATAGCTATCTGTTTATGGACCTGGCGCTTCAAGGTGGTCTGCACGGAACAGAAGACCTTCAAGAGTGTGCATTCACATGCAATGTCATCTGCATGTATTTGCGACAGCTCTTGGGGCGATTCCATGTTCATTTTCCCGACCTCGTGCTATTGGTGGAGGACCTATTGTGCCGCCTGCCGAAATTCCACAGCCACACCCACAAGGAACTCTGACTTCGCTGGTCTTACACCATGCGAGATGACAGCCGGCACACATTATTGGTGGTGGATTTGGAATCCAGCAGAAGACGCAGAGTGCTGATGCGCTCAAAGTTGTGATTATACCAATCTGCCAGTCATTGTGTGAGCTGACACGTGGCTGCAATCTCCGTGTTCGCCCGTGTGTGCGCTGTAGTACCACTAGGGGTCTTCCTGCTGTCAAGGAACACTGCACCATGATGACCTGATTGTTGACCCTTTTTCAAGGCGGTCAAAGGCAAGTCCAATACAGATCTTCAGCTCATAGGTGGCTAGCAGCCTTAGGTTGTACTGCTTGAGCTCCGTGCTGTTGAAGTCGGATGGTAGACTGAGTACCACGACCTCCTCCCCATCGTTGTCATTGTTGTCAAGTGACATCGAACCATTGCCATTGCTTTAGGAGAGCAAAGCGAGGGCATGATCTCAGGCTGAAGAGCCTGCCACTGCTTGAGCTTGTCATGATATGCAGCAAGGGAAGCAGGTAGGCTGTGTGTGGCATTGTTGGTGAGCTCAGTGCCATCTTGGACCATCTGCTTGCGCATCCATAGTTTGTATCTACATCAACTTGAAGCATAATCAGTATGGCTTCAACAGAACATTTGTGCAATGCTCACCGATCTGAGTCCAGCTCAATACCTAGTTTGATGAATTGTGCTGCGCGTTTACGCAGTTCCGATGCCGCTGCGTCAGTGTGTTTGTCTTTCTCACTCTGGTGGATCTCAACCAATTTTTTGAATGCCTTCTGACGAGTGGAAACTTCATTGTTTGTCAGTATGTAGGAGCTGGGGCGAGTACGTGGTT